TATATATATATATTATGATACAGAAAGTAAGCGCATCAGAAATCCCATGATATTTCATCCTTCCATTCTCAACAAACTGGGATTACTGTGTGAAGCTTGCACTCTGAGACATTACATAAAATAAGGCAAAGGTCATTACTCAAGTCCTATATACTAAGAAAGGATTACTGTACTATTGTATATTATGATAATACCAAAAAACATTAGCTCACTTGACTATGGTGAGCACGATGATATAATCCTGCTTGAAACCAGTAAGTACAATAGTATTGATCAATTTGGGAGGGAAACACTGTAATGTGCATTTTTATATTAAAGACATGAATTGTTTCAACAGACAGCTAAAATCAGCATCAGTTAATTTTCAAATGGTGTGTCTTTGTATTGTCTAATTTAGAATGTTTTATCAACCAATGACCGTTTATATCATAATGCTAATTCCTATTACTACTATTTTGTTGATATTCTGTCTATTGACATCTATTGATCGTTACACCGTTTTTGTGATTTTGTGTCTGTACGCCACCACAATGAATTTGAAATCACACCATCTATACGTAACTAAAGTGCAAACTTGCAGCTTTAAATTAGGCAAAAACAATGCAAACTGTTTAGATCCTACAATCACTTTTTGTCGCCCCTTCAGTTTCACAAGCTCAAAGGTCATTGGTCAGCTGTAAAGACATATTTAAATGATAAAAGTTCTGAGAAGCATCCAGATCAACAATATGGTACATTTTTAGACAGAAAGAAAGCACTGGCAACATAAAGTCAACATAAAGACCATCAAAGACAATTAAAGTGGATGATCACAGAATTATTTCCTTGGTTAAGAAAACAACAACATCTAGCCCAGTCAAGAACATCCTAGATGAGGTGAACACATGGTTGTTAAAGTCCTCAACGAGGAGACGCCTTCATAAATGTAAATACAGAAGGTTTACTTTAAAGTACAAACCACTGGGAACATGATTGACTTGTTCCAGGATGATGGGAAGAGAAGAGTATAGAAGAGGAAGTGCTTATGAGCCACAGTATCACAAGGTTCCTCTTCATTCACTACTTAAGTCCAGCCCACTCACTTAGTGGTGCTTTAAAACCGAGGCAGCCTTCATTCATTCATTCATTCACATCCACCTCACCACCAGCCTCTACAGATCTCCACTGCTGTTCATCTCCTCATCAGAGATCCCTCATGCAGGTTATAAAACTCAGTGTTTGGAGATTTGTTCTTACCTTCTGACTGTGATCATGTCCGGGCGGCCGATCCGTCTTGAACGTGGGTTTGCAGCATTAAAACCAAAGCGGTCCAGTCTCTCAGAAACTGACAACACGTGTCCTGAACGCGGGAAAATCACCTTTCACCCTCCTCAGAGAATATCAAAATCCAGTTAGAGCTTCTAGCAGTCAAATCCGACCTCCAAGCGGAGCAAGTCATCACTAATTTTTTTGATCTGCTTCGGCTACATCAGCTCATAACTTCAGTCCACCTAAGGAAACGTCGGGTGTCCCAGCTCCGCCCATCCCGTCGGTCCACCGGCCCCAGTTCCTCCGGGAATATCAGAGATTTAACCACCTTAATCCACCTCCGGAAGGCCTCACATCTAACCTTCCCTCCGGTCTCCTCCGGGCATCCACCAGTGTCTCTTCTACACATCATAAACTGTCATTCAAGTCCAAAAATCCAAGTTTCCTCGACGAATGTTACCTGCCATACAGCTTCCGGGTTTGTCCACTGTCTCCGCCCACCAGCGTGACGTCACGACTGAGCCACCACAGCACCGTGACTCGTGCAGCTCCAGCGCCCCCTGCTGGTACGGCCCTTCTCCTTCATCTATAGCCGTGTGCCCTCACCTCTACACCCACATGCTGGCAGGTAATTAAATCAATCTGGTTAAATTATGTTCAGCTCATCTGAGTCAGGCTTGGGAGGAAACGTCTTGATGGTTGTGTTGGAAGATCACTTATTCTCAAGATCATGATTCCAGGCGATCATAGGATATTTCAATGACTGTTTAAGGTAGCTTTTCAATCTTATAGGTGAAACTTAAAAAAAAAAAATGTCTGGGACAGTAACTGATTCTCAGCTCCTGGTGACATGCTTGACACCGCACATAATCTCATATATCAGGTATTATATTTCCTTTGTATCAGGTCACTATAAAAGTGCCTTTCCATATCAAATTAAATCAAATCAAGTTTTTACATACACAGTAGTACAGGCAAGATGAGAGAGCTTTTCTTCAGGATCATTTAATTAGTAAGTTATGCAGAATGAATGTCTGGGATAGGCAAGACACTAAACGTTCACTCTCGCTGCCTCCTGAAGGGGCTGCTGCATCCATGCGCGCCGCCATCATGTTGAACATGGTGAACCTCTTCAGGTCCCGGTAGGTCTTCAGGGACACAAAGACACATGGTGAAGCCACAGATGCTGCCCAGAGCTAGCCGTCTATCTGTCCGTCCGGAACAATGTCGTCCCCTCCAGCTGTATGTCCATCTGGGATGTTGTCATGGAGCCATGTTTCTGTTAAAGCAAACACACAGCAGTCCCTCCACTCTCTGCGGGTTTCTCTCAGCAAATGTAGCTCGTCCAGCTTGTTGTCGAGGGAGCGGACATTGGAGAGTAACTGCCGGTGTAGTCTCCGATCGGACTCCATGTTAGAGTAGTATGTCCAAATCACAACCAGCCGCCACGACTTTTAGCACCATTCACTGTTCTGACGCCCAGCAAATTCTCCCGCAAGTTGTGCGGAATGAACGTCTGGGATAGACAAGACACTCGTAACGTTCACTTTCATTGTCTCCTGAAGGGGCCACTGTCTGGGCCTATGTTCATTTGTGTGCATCCAGCATGCCGCTGATGCTCTGCATCCAGATGTGAAGGTTGTGCATGCTTGCACAAAATCAAAGGAAATGCCATCATTGTCGACCTTTTACATAGTCTCATATCTCACATAGTAGATTTTCTTTGTATCTGTATCTTCGTTGCATTCAGATGAAAAGGTCATGCTACTTGCATGAATTCAAAGGAAACGCAACACACTTGTCACTACACAAAAGCTAATTTCATTGAAGTCAGTTTCATTTCAAGGTGACTCTGCTCATCTTCTCCCCTCTGAAGCACAGGTTTGGGGATTTGTGATCTCAGGGACTGTCTGTGTCGTGCTTGCTCAGATTGTTCCAGAGCATCACTCAAGCAGAGTCACAGCCAAACACAAATGCATGTCGTTCCAAAATATATGATTAAATCTAACAAAGTGTCCTGTCGGAAGCACAATTTAAGAAACCCAAGTGATTCATAGAGCAACAAAATGTTCTTAAAT